GAATCCCTTTGGGTAAAGCTGACAAGCAGAGGCCTTTGGAGTTATTGAATCCCTTTGGGTAAAGCTGACAAGCAGAGGCCTTTGGAGTTACCGTAGTGTGCAATGGCGTTGCTCTCGAATATGCAAAACCCATCATCTCCTTCAAAGGCTGGAACCTACAGAGGGGGAAAAAAGCCTCTCTCAGTGGCTGAGAAGACAAATGGAGGGATCTCCTCCAAAGAGGCCAGCAGGTACCACCTACAGCAATGTGGAAACTGTAAGAGACTCAAGTCGAGAACTTCAGCTTGAGATGTGATATCACCAGGACTGGTGCCAGGCCAGCAACAAGCCCTTGCCTTGTTCAAGACGAAGCCTCCTATCTAGACTAAACCTGCTGCAGATGCAGGAAGGAACCTCTGAATGCTTTGTTACAGACCTCCAATTCTTGGGGGAATGAATGCTCAGCCCTGTTTTTTCTTCCTACAGGCAGAAAGTTTCACCAAGCCTTTAAGGCTGGGATTTTTTTTTTTTTTGCAGGTATTGCTCCTGATTATTCTACAAAGAATAATGCTGGCAGTCAGGCCTCAGAATTAACAGGGACCCAACCATGGGAAAAGCCTGGCTCCATTAATCAGCCCCACCCCACCAACCACAGCGTTGATTCTACTTTAAAAGGTATTTAAGTACTTCCAAAAACCAGAATTGAGGCTGAGGTGGCTAACATTACTTGGCAGTTTTTGATCCCACCCGTACAAAGTTAGGGGGCCAGCATCATGAACAGATTTGGGGTACATGGCAGAACCTTACCTTGGCTCTGAACTAAGACATAAGATACTCGCATGGGTTTTGGCTTAGCTCAATGGGTGAATGCTGCCACTGGGCTTTCATAACCAGCATTTGTTTATTGTACTGTTATAGCACCCAAAGATGAGATTTCTGTCTGCCTACATAGATAAATGCATCGATTCTTAAAATACATTACAGAACATACATAAGCATGTTACATGAACCAGGCAATTCTCATTTAATTCAATACATCATGGCTCAGTATTTATTTATTTATTTATTTATTTATTAATTAAATTTTTCGACCGCCCATCTCCCCCCAATGGGGGAACTCTGGGCGATTCACAACAAATATTAAAACATAAAATATATAAACACATAAACCCTTAATTTAAAACATTACTAAAAAGAAGGAGAGG